GATCTCCCCGTTTTAAATTCAGTCGATTGACGACCGAATGGATGATTAATGAAAAATTAAAAATGATTGCTTAATTCTATTAAGATTTGCAAGAGGTGCGAATGCTGAAGAAGTAATCGATGCCATATAAGTTTGCTTCATCATTTTTATTTAATCGAATGAAATATTTTAATTTTATGAAAATTTTTGAGGTTTCCAACGCGGTCGTGGAAGCGTTGAGAATGTTTAAACCGTTAAAAAATTGCATTAGAATTCGCATTGCATTTCTTGCCACTAAATTGTGTAAATTTTGCCATAGATCCTTATAAAATCTTGCTTTTAACCCCTTTTAACCCCAATTGGTATGATTTCTAATTTTCAGAATATTACTATTATTATTATTATTGTTGTTGTTATTATTATTATTATTATTATTATTATTATATTTTATTTTACATTATATTTTAGTAAAATATATATTGAAAAATGAGCGAATCAGAATCTGAATATGAATACGCTGTCGGAAAGCGGCTCACAAGGAAGCGATAAGTCGTAAGTGTGATAAGTAGAGAAAGGATATATTTTATACTTGAATAAGTAAGTGTTACAGCTTACAATCCCATATAAATGATAAATATCAATAAAACGATTGTTTTTTTTTGCTTTCACATTATTTTCAATTCTCGATTGCATTCGAGTGTGAAAAATTATAGCAACATAAAGTACAACGCCGCTCGAATTATCTCGAGTGTGCACAGTTTGGCCAGTTCAGCGCGCTCGAGTTGACTCGAGCGTGCACGTTAAGGGGTTAATCGAACAAATCGTCGAAATAATTTCGACCGTTTTAATCGACGAACTACCCCAGTGTGTGACAGACCGCTCGATGACTCTGTTTCAGATATAACTCCGACGTTCCCGCGTACGAAATAGCAAAGAAGTACCTCGGCAAAGACCTGCCGGACTTCGATACCTTGCGATCACGAGTGTCCTTGGTCCTGGCGAACAGTCATCCGGCTGTCAGCACGCCCCGAGCCCAGACTTACGCGTTCAAGGAGCTCGGTGGTATTCACATTCCTCCGGAGGGACCACCGCCGTTGCCAAAAGACCTCAAGGATTACCTGGACTCCCATGGCAGAGATGGCGTTATTTACTTTAGCCTCGGGTCGCAACTGAACTCGTCCACGATGTCGGAGCAAGCGGTCGCCGCCTTTTACAAAGCATTCGAACAACTACCGCAGCAAATACTCTGGAAATGCAGCAAAGAGAAAATGCCGAAGCTGCCCAGGAACGTTAAGTGCATCGAATGGGCGCCCCAACTCTCCATACTCTGTACGTGCATCCTGCCGTTTCTTTTTCCACTTTTACCGCAGCTCACGCAACTATCCAGCGGGCATTATCCAACGGCGATTACGAAATCAACGGAGAACCGTTGCATTCCGGACCCGCGGCACGATCTGTTGTTCTGAAAGTTTTATGCCGGTTTCTCGAGTTACGACAACGAACGCCGCCGCATCGGGGAAGCGGCGTTATGAACCCTAAAGGGGCTGAGAACCTATAAGCGAAGTTACTTTAGGGACGTTTTCGAAATTCAGGCCGGTGTAACTTCGTCAAATGGAATTGGAGAACGGTGTTCTTCGGCTCATTGGGGAGGGCGTAATGTCTGCTTTCAACACGGTGTAGGTGTTTTTAGCTTGAATTTTTGTCTTCTTCGTAATCGCAGATTTAGCAAAAATGGTCCTTTCTGGCATTTTTTAAAATTCGCATATCTCTGAGAAGTTCGAGAAATTTTTTCCGCGAATGTATTTATTATTGAGTTTTAGAGAAAAGTCTTCTCTTTCGAACGAGCCCACGTGCGCTGTCCTATGATTTTTTGTTACACTTTTATGACACTTTGAATGAACAAAGTACTCGACTTCTGCAAGTCTAAATGCTAGACGAAAATTGATTGAATTTCAATAAATTACAACTTGGTCAAAACAGATCGCAGAACAACGTGCTTGGGCTCATTTCAAACAGCATAATCTCTGCTTTTAGGTCGTCTGAGCTATTATTTATTTATAATTTTTGTGTCGCCGGTACTCTCGAGGTAAGTAAAGTGGTCCATTTTTGGCACTTTCCGAAATTCACCTGCCACTGAGAAGTTTGAGACAGTCTTCCTGCGAATGCAATTATTGCAATTTTTTAGAGCGAAGTTTTCTCTTTCAAACGAGCCCTCGAATAGCCCACTTTGAATAGACAATGTTTTGGGAGGATCAGAAGTATTCGATTTCTGCAAATCTAAATGTTAGACGAAAATTGATTAAATTTCAATATACTATAACTTCGTTCCAAAAGATCATAGGACGATGTACATGAGCTTATTTTAAAGAGCATAATCTCTGCTTTTGACATCTTTGGGCCATTTTTATTTCTAATTCTTATGTCGTTGGTATCCGCAGGCAGAATACAAATGGCCCTTTATGGCATTTTTTGAGACTCGTATACCACTGAGAAGTTCTAAAAAATTTTTCCGTGAGCGAAACTGCCATCAGAGTCAAAAAATGAAGTCTCCTCTTTCGAACGAGTGCAAAAACATTGCTCTACGACTTTTTGTTCCACTTCTATGGCACTTTGAATCAAAAGCGTGCCGTCAGAATAAACGACTTCCAAAATATTAGGCGAAATCAAAATTCGAAATACTATAAGTTCATTATAAATATCCGTAGGGCAATGTACCTAGGCTTATTTTAAAGGACATAAGCTCCACAATTAACTCATCTCAGTTATTTTAATTTAAAATGTTATTATCATTGGTACCCGCAGCTTAAATTGCTTAACAATTTTTTAACTATAAACATCTTCAGGAAGTTCAATAAACTTTGCTCAGGAACGACATCACGGTGGTCTTAAAAAATAAATTCTCCCGTTTCTAACGACCCCATAAAAATTGATGTACGATTTTGTTTTATCATTTTATTGGGCTCCGAACGGAACACGTTACTGCCAACTGTTCCACGAGACAGTCGAAAGGTATAAATTCAATTCGAAACGAAAATACAATGATCTCTTGATCATTCACCAGTTTGCTGTTGCAATCTCTTTGAAAAGTGGTTAAGTTACTGCGACTACTATACTGCGGATTTTTATGCAAAATAAAAATTATATACGTTAATCGTAACGAACATAACTTGGTTGAAAATGTCTTCCTTTTTTTAATGATTGTAATAAGTTTAAAATACTATAATAATATCCTTAAATTCTTCTGTCTTTACAATTTTGTATTTGATCTGTTCATTCTTGTCGCAAATGCATAAAATCCGTAGTCTTGTAATTATACTACCCATGTTTGATTTTCTTCAAATTTTGTTGAAATACAACAGTTTCATAAAATATTTAATCTAATAAAGAAGATCAAAGTATATTATCCTTCTTAACCATACTTTTATAGAGATATTTATAAAAGTATGTAAAGTATTAAATTTTTATTATGCACGGTAATTGAAGCTTAGCATTCGGGATGGGTGCACAGTAATTGGAGCATTTAGAAAATAAAGAAAAAATAGAAATCGATTTTTTTGGACCGTTAAGATGGTGTTCCGCCTTAAAGGAAGTAATTAACCTCGGATGCCTTGGAGCTCGATGTCGTCTCAAATCAGTTACTTCGATTGCGATCATTTGCATGTAAAGTGATCAGGCTGCTAACAGCATACGAAATGACACGTGCAGGTAACGCACGAGCAAATTTGGAGTTACTCCAAGATTTAACTCAAACTAACCCGAATCTTGCCCACCCCTAATTCGCGGATAATTCTCGTCTTATTATAATTCACGTTGCGCGCACAAACTATCCGGATAATTGAACGATCAAATTTCCTGTAAAACCAGCGAAAATATTCAAAAATTTCGGGACGCTAAATATTTACAGAATTCGTTTTCTCTTCGTTGCGAGACCTTTTAAGCGTTGAAATTTCTTACGCGATATGAATACATCTTCCGGTAGCACGTAATTGTAATGAAATTTCGTGTAGAATTATTTATCACCGCGTAAAACATACAAATTCTGTACGAAGTCGTGAATTATTCATAGAAGTCGTTTTTCTTTGTTAGCGAACGTTTGAAACGCTGAAACTCATTATGCGATACGAATATATATATCGTCCAGGAACACATAATTGTAGTCCGTGATTATTAATATATTCTTGGAAAGTAGGACAGCCTTAACTAAGCTTGATAATCCGATACCACAGTATTCAATCGTATTATTCTCACAAAGGTATTATGATGTAAAACGTGAAAGCCACCGTTCGAGAGTTTTTATTTCGCATCGAAGCCAGTTCGAATTTACTTCGTCCTAATATAATATTACCCCAGTTGTTATTTCTGTAATGCAGACGCGTTCAATTAATTGGAGAAATTTAATAACTTTGTAATGTAGTAGCATAAAGTAACCTTCTTGATTGACGTATTTCATTCGGAGTCTTTCAAGAAATTAAGAACAGTCAAACTTTGCTCGTTAAAGGATTAAAGTTTTGGGTAACGTAAATAAGGTAGAAGTATCCTTATATTCTAATATCAGATGGAACATTCTGGAAACAAAAGTGAAATCAACTAAGAGAATAGAAAATAGTTTTTAATCATTATTTTTTCGCTCTCTTATTAATTATTCTTGAAAGTATTTAGACATTTTTACAATTTTTGTAAAATTGTTGATATTTGAACTGTTGTAGTTTTGTGAGAAATAATTGGACTACAATGAACTTTGACTCATTTTATAGCACGAAACGTCTACTTTCGTGATCCATTGTTTATTTTCTCGTTACATTAATTTGCAAAATGTAACGGGTGGAAAACTGGAGACCAGTTTTTCTGCAGAAATGCTACAAATTCAAACATCTGTAGAATTTTCGGAAAATCTTTCTTTCAAACTGCATCTTCATAGATTTAAAGTATAAAATTTCCTCTTAACGTAAGTACCTCAAAATTTGTCGTACGATTTTTTTTTACTCCATTTCTTAAGCTTCAAATGTGGTTCGCCATGGGAGCTATGCCGATCAAACTTGTTCCACATTTTTGTTGCATGTGAAACAGTCAAAAGAAATCGTGCATTAAATTTTGAGGAGCCATCGTGAAGAGGAAGTCAGTCATTGTATTACTTTTTCGGTATCACGAACGTGCTCTCAGATTTAGGATATGCATGATATGGGAATGCATGAAATTAAAAGTTAGATTATGATATTGCAAAGTAGAGATTTCAAGCTTTAATTTAAGGAAAGCTCTTAATTTTTTGATAGCTTTTAACAGAGTTACAGCTGTTCGAAGATCGACGATTGTTCGAAGGCTGCAAAACTTTGTTTTCGTGGCTTAAACGTATGACCGATAGTTGAAAGTCTAAAAAAAATTTAAAAGACGAGATTTTCGAAGGATTCGTGAGTCACGACCGCTGTCAGGAAAATGTTCGGAGTCACATAAACTTATTACCTGGCAATCCGCAGGTCACCCGAACGTGCGGCTGTTTATCACACACTCTGGACTGCTTGGGTCCCAAGAGGCGGTTTATTGCGGAGTTCCAATTCTTGGGATGCCCTTATTCGGCGACCAGCACTTGAACATGGCCTACTTCGTGAAAAAAGGTCTGGGTTTGCAGCTGAATTACGGTGAACTCTCATACGAAGCGGTATTGGCCGCTCTGAACGAGCTGCTCCTGAACGAGAGGTATGTAATTAGAAGCTCCGTGCCTTCCACTCGTATTGCAAATTTCATGGGCTTCGGCTAATAATAATTGAATGAACGGTAAAAGCATCGTGCAGTTGCAAAAATAATCATTCGTACCGATGAATAATCCATTATTATATTTCGTGATCAGTGGTGTTCGATTATTCCCAGCAGGCTGTGTTCAATAACTCATAAAATGCGTCGGAGTGCGCATCGCGGCTCTGTTGTAAGCGAATCAGTTGATGGGCGTATGTTCAAGTATAGAAAGTAAAAGAACTATTATTATTCTGAACGTTTTATTCTGATTCGTTTAATACACAGACGTGTTAGAAAATGCATGTATCGAGTGGAGGAATTATCGCACTGCGGATTTTATGCATTCGTGCGAGAAATGAATAAGCGAAATGCGGAACAGTGAAAACGTCGAAAGAATTCTAGATTAAATGTAAAAGTTGTTGACAGAGAAAATAAATGTTCCTGCAACTTTTCTGTTTCTTGCAATTGACGTACAATATTTTTGTGTCAGTAAGGGAAATTTCGAACTATGAAAGGATTAAAAAACTAACGAATTTTGCAATTAATGGAGGCAATTTTTATTTAGCTCCTGTTCATTGCAATTAATAGAAACAATTTTTATTTAGCTCCTGTTTCTTGCAAGTAATTTAAACAATTTCTGTTTAGCTCTTGTTCATGGCAATTAATTCAGACTATTTGTATTATACCCTTGCTTCGTGCAATTAATACAGACAAGTTTTATTTAGCACCTGTTTGTTGAAATTCATGCAGATAATTTCTTATTTAGTCTGCAATCAATGCAGACAGTTTTTAATTGACTCCTGTTTATTGCAATTAATTCACATAATTTTGATTTAACTTCTGCCCGTTGCAGCTAATAAAGGTAATTTCTATTTAGCCCGCTGTTCGTTGCAATTAATGCAGACAATCTCTATTTAATTGCAGATTATTTACATTTAACTGCTGTTCGTTGGAGTCAATGAAAATAATTTTTATTTAGCTCCTATTTGTTGCAATTAACTGAAATAATTTTTATTTAGCTCCTATTTGTTGCAATTAACTGAAATCATTTTTATTCACCTTCCGTTTGTTGCACTTAATGCACAAAATTTTTCTTTAGTTTCTATTCGTACCAAATAACGTAGACAATGATTATTTTGCAACGAGATCCACAGTTTAGCAACGCATCAAGCGTAGAACACCCACGCGAGCGCAAAATACAGTAATTGTAAGATGCCGCGATTGAGTTTGTTAGTTCCGTTATCACGGCAACGACGTTTAATTAGAATTTGCCTCGTACATCCGCATGATCGATTAAGTTCATCAAAAATATCCGCGCGCCCTGTGTACCTTGAAACTCTGGCCGGAGTATGTAATGAAATTACGACACGTGTTACATGTAGCCCGGCCTGTATGTAGACTGCTTCGAACTGCAGGCACTTGCTTGGTTAGTTTAATCGCACTGCGTTGAACTAACTATAAGTTTTGAATAGATTCCATTAGCTCGATGCTCCCCGTGTTCACGTATCTTACCGGTTTGGACGAAAAGTCATTCCGGAACTACTAAAGCTGAGCTTCCGTTATTCGAACCTCTGGCATCTGAATTCTTTATCATCCAGAAATACGTTGTACCGGGGAGAGTTGGGCATTATTCGGATTGTTTCGAATAAATATTTATCTAAGATAATTAATCGAATGAATTTCTTTTAGACGAATATTTTATTCGTCTCATTCATTAGTCGTTATTAATCATTCTATCTGTTTATTCAAATAATTCTTTATTCAAATGATTCTCTATTCGACTAATTCTTTCTTCGAATGATTCTTTATTCGAATAATTCTTTCTTCAATTGATTCTTTATTCGAATAATTCTTTCTTCAAATGATTCTTTGCTCGAATAATTCCTTAGTCGAATGATTCTTTATTCGATTAATTCTTTCTTCAAATGATTCTTTATTTGAATAATTCTTTATTCGAATATAATTCTTTATTCGAATATAATTCTTTATTCGAATAATTCTTTTTTCAGATGATTCTTTATTCGAATAATTCTTTTCTCATATGATTCTTTATTCGAATAATTCGAGAAATTAAAATAATTAGGAAAGTTCTTTATTCGAATAATTCGAAAAATTGCTTATTCGAATAATTCGACAAAGTGAAATGGAAGAAATAAATCGATGAACTATGAAAGAACACTTCGTATTCTATCTCACACATTTATTCAAATCAATTCTTTCCGTGTGGATTTCTTTGCAAATAAATTCTTATTTGAATAACATTTTATTCGAATGAATTGTTATTCGACTAAAGTTCAATTCGGATGCATTTTTATCTACATTTCAGTAAGAATAGAAAATCTATCGTGTCTAATTGGAGTACTTCAATAAACATGTTAAACAAAATTCATGAATAAAATTATAACTTATCCGACGCATATAGTCACTTTTAACAGTTTATCAGAATGCTTCGCCGTTTGAGTTTCAGTTAACAGTAGAAATAATTTTGGCTGACGCTACACGACTGTTCAGTATTTACTTCATTTCTAGAAATTTGTTGTTGCAAATATTGTTGTTCGTTCTGTTGACAGCTATGCAGAAGTAGCAAAGAAACTATCCCTGCAGTTCAAAGATCGTCCAATGCCACCTGTAGACGAAGGTGTCTACTGGATAGAGTATCTAACACGCCACGGAGCTGATTCCTTGAAAACAGAGGCGTCCAACCTATCGTGGTACCAGTATCTACTGCTCGATGTTAATTTTATTATAGCGTGCGCAACAGTTGCGGTTCTGACAGCTGTTCGGGCTGTAATAAGGACGACATGTTTCCAACAGTTCTTGATGTATGGCATTTATATTATTTTATGTGCAGCAACTGTGATAGTAAAACTAGTTAGGATCGTTTACGAATTATCTAAAAACTTGTTCGTATCTGTAAACGATCGTGCGAATGCTAGGGTAGCAAGAGAAAAGTTGAAAAAGTAATTGCGAATTTGTTAAAAACTATATTTTAATTGTACGACGATGTTCATTTTGTTTACTGATCATTTTCACCAGTTTGCCGTGAGAAATAATTTAATACTGTAAAATTCAAGTTTGCGTAACTTGGACTTGGGTGTGTGTCATCTATATTTAGCATAGTACACTTTATACATTTATAGTGAGATTCTCTATACTCAAACGAAGACTGCGAGACGTCGCTGAGAACTATTATAATTTGCAATCATTTTATACTATCATCGCGTGAATTTAGTAAATTACTGACAACTTAAGTTTCACAAATGGCTTATGTTATTAGCTTTATTACTATTGTATAATTTTATTAGATCGTTATTATTATATAACTATGTCCTGAGAGGCGATTTGTAGGTCAACATTTCGTTAATTTAACGTCGTTAATATTTTGTACTACGTTTCATTGTTATGATCAATGAAGCGAACGAACATCTGAACGAAAATAACCAATTCGAGATTACTATAGTTCTTGTGACATTAAGAATTTTTATCTCATGAAATCTGTATTAATATAGACTTTTATACATTTTTGTTTCATAAAATCTGTGTCAATACGAACTTTTATAAATTTTTGCTTCATAAAATTTGTATCAATACACTCTTTTATCAAGTTTTATTTAAACAGTCTTATTATTTCCAACGTTCTACCAGTTCATATTTTCTATACAGCTGATAATTACGGCACTTTCAATATCGACAATTTCTTGTTCAATAAAATCGAACAATAATATCAACACAGTATCTTGTCGAACTGAAACGGTCTAATTATTTCCAACGTTTATCATTTTATATCTATTTCAAAGCTGACAATTATGGTACTTGCAAAATTATCAGTTCATATTTCACAACATTTGTATTCATCTTTTCTCAAAATTCAATCAAATACTACCACTTCATATTTTCTCTAAAGCTGATAGTCGTGATACTTTCAGAATAAAGAATTTTTGTTTCAGAAAATCTAAGCAAATACAATCTTTCATCAAATAAAATAATGTAATTGCTCGCAACGATCCATCATTTCATAATTTATTCAAATCACATCGCGAACAAATACGTTCCTGCTTTTGGTGAGCAATCAGAGTGCAAATAATCTGAGCGCAAATGCCATAAAACACGTGTGTACATTACAAACGATCATGCTTGACATAGTATTGCGCAAGAGTTTACGCAACAGTCCGTTATTTAGACTTCGTTTCTTCGAGCACCGCGCGCTGGTTGAGAAATCCAGGTTCGGGATTCGTGCCAACAAAAATGGAGAAGCGCCGTTTTATTAGTTATAAAGGTCGCCTTACATGGAGGGGAAAGAAGCTTTTGCATATTCCGACGTTATATCACTCGCGCTTTATTATGAATGCACAGGCACGGAGTAGCAAAAACAGGAAGCCGGAAAAGCCGGCCGCGTCTCTCATTCGGGGAATAAAAGCGTGGTTATAAATTAGGGGACAAATCGCGTCTCCCTTTGCGACTTCGAATGCAATACAATACAGGGTGTACCAAAAATATGGCTGAAAGATACAATAGCGGCCAGCACTATTGTGCCGCCGACTGCCTAACCGGATTTTTCTCCGTGTATCTCCTGCAGCCAGACACCGAATACGAGAAAATTCCCAATTGACAATTAACAAGATTCAAGAGGGCCGAGAGCCGCCTGAAGAATTTTCCAGTATCGAGGAACTGCTTGGTTGGAACAGTTTCAAATATGACATTGAACAATGAAAAGCTTTCATTGTCAGACTGCGGATCTTTATGCGAAATACAAATTGTATTCGTGAATTGCAACAACCGCTTGTCACAGGTAAAAAGGTCTTTCTTTCTTTAACAATTTTAGAAACTTGAAAATGATATAATGACACTATTGAATTCGTTCAATCTGTCTACTGTTTTAAATTCGACCTATTTATTTTTGTCATAAGTATATAAAATCCGCAGTCTATTTATCACTAATCAATTAAGTACAGTAAATATCAGAATTGAACGATTCTTTAAAAATTTATGTTTGAACGTCAGAGTATATATTCTTATTTAAATATGTAGTTCAATATCACGATAGAAGAAATTCATTGAAATTGACAACTGAATGTGATTATAAAAAGATCCTTATTCAAAGATATATTTAAATGTCTCAAGAGAAGACTTTCATTGGAATGGATACTTGAATGTCATACTAAAAGACTCTTATTCAAAATAATATTTAAATGGCACAATAGAAGACCTTCACATAAATTGGTGCCTGAATACCTGAATAAAGGACGCATATTAAAATTTGTACTCTTAAATGTCAGGATAACACAAGCATTCATTGAAATTTATATTTAAATGTCTCTATTGAAATCTTTCGTTTATGTCGAATATTATAACGTAAAATTGATTTATCGTCTTTTGTGCGTTGTTATCAACTAATCCTTTGTCCCCGTTACGTCTTGTAGCATTATCGAATAATCGTTTATGTACCGCGCCGTTTTTGTGTAAAGAATAAAAATTTCTCATTCAAATTTATACATAATTGTCATAATAAATGACTTCTATTACAATTTATATTTATATATAAAAATTGAAAATTCTTATTAAATATCTATATATAATAA